GTACAGTACACCTCAGTACCGTCTCAGTACAGTACACCTCAGTACCGTTTCAGTATAGCACACCCAAGTACATCTCAGTACCGTCTCAGTACAGTATACCTCAGTACACCTCAGTACCGTCCCAGTACAGTACACCTCAGTACCGTCTCAGTACAGTACACCTCAGTACCGTCTCAGTACAGTACACCTCAGTACCGTCTCAGTACAGTACACCTCAGTACACCTCAGTACCGTCTCAGTACAGTACACCTCAGTACCGTTTCAGTACAGCACACCCAAGTACATCTCAGTACCGTCTCAGTACAGTATACCTCAGTACACCTCAGTACCGTCTCAGTACAGTACACCTCAGTACACCTCAATACCGTCTCAGTACAGTACACCTCAGTACACCTCAGTACCGTCTCAGTACAGTACACCTCAGTACACCTCAGTACCGTCTCAGTACAGTACACCTCAGTACACCTCAGTACCGCCTCAGTACAGTGCACCTCCGTGCACCTCAGTACCGTCCGCGACCATCTTGACCGTGCTTCGCGTCTCCGGTAAATCGTCGGAGATCATAATAAACAGGGTTGGTCCTGGCACCCGTTTTTGAGTGGAAACTGCTGGTGACGTCGGTCCAGTCAGACTTCGCGCCATGGTCCCACACTGCTTCCGGTTAGAAGCAGGCTCTGACCTTACAAACTTTTCCACAACTTTGAAGAGCTGCGGGACCTTGCTGTCTATTTATTGTCCAGATTCGAGTGTTATGCCTTGAAAAGTTTCTCAGCTTTTGCAGAATTGCGTAGCATATGAACGGACTGACGTGGCAAAGGAATATAAGCCCTTTTCACACTGGCATTATTAGACAGGAGCCAAATTTGATACCAAATCTGAAATGCACAAAAACCAGAATGAACAGGAGCGAAACCAATCGTCTGTCGTCAGGTCCACCCAAAATAGACCGTATATGATACTCTGAAGGCAACATAAAAGCTACATTCGATGTTGCAATCAGTGAGCAGTCCCGTTGCAACGCTGCGTCACTGGATGTTATCTTCATGAACCGCCTGCGGGCAGAGCCAGGTCACGTTCCGCCCCTTACACGGCCGGGGCTCTCCGTGCGGTGACGTGTCTAATGATAGCGCGCCGGTCGGGGCTTTATCAATCATGTGTCGCCGAACGATGCCTGTCCCTGGGGTGACGTCACGTCCGGATCAGCTTCGGTGCTGTGCAGCTGCAGCGACGTCGACCAGCAGCGGGCGCACTTGTGGGTCTCATGGTACATTCAATTCACTATGGTGTTTTATCTCAATTTCTGAGATGTCCGGTGAGTTCCATCCTTCACTTTTGAAAAAAGACGATGTGTACTTATTTTTCGGTACAGTAGGCTTCAGTTACACGTGGCTAAACAGACTTATCCGGTCCAATAATCGGACATCTCCGGCCCCGAAAGCATCCGGTCACAATCATTTGAACTGCTGGCGAAACGGCATTGTCCGGCACTACGGCGAATAGATTATATTGCATCTTCAAAAAAATATACTTCGCGGCCTCTAGAAATTATATTGGCTTGGATCAGATGTCATGAAGTATTGGTGGCAGTCTCATGCCACTTCTGAACGAAAGCTCTTTTATGTTATCATTTCAGATCAGAAAGGACATTTATCGTATGGCCAGTCATGCAGCCGCGAATGCGTACGCCTTTGGAGGTCTCATTTATCAACAAATGGTAGTTGGAAACAATATTGCAAGACCAGCCAGGTCCCTGTACACCCTACCAAACAATGACAGTGATAGCCAACGCAGCCTCAAATGTCATGACCATCATTCGGAAACGGGAATCGTCGAATTTCATTTCGAAGTAGGACGACAGCATATCAAGTGCATGTAAAAAGATAATATTTCAAACAGGTTGTATAAAACGGAAGCTTTCGGGATAACCTTTATACCTTCTTCAGCTCTGGTCAGACAATGCTGTTAATGAAAACAGATTCAGGCGCGCATTAAGGAAAATATAAGCGGGTAAAAAGTAAGATGCCATTTAACACACCCATCTGTCTGAGGCAATGACAGTAGGATAGCTTACCGGCTTTACATTTTAGCCGCAGATTAATAATGCTGACTGCTGGCAAGGGACATATGCAATGCACTCACCTTTCGATACGATTTCAATGCATTTCTTCCGAATATTATCATGTGACATGACAGCTGTCATCGCACCGCGGAGTTATTTCACTTTTTGGAATCGATTTGATAGCGACGCATATGGCATATCGCAAAACTAAAACAACGTATCGCACGCGTGTACAACTTGGTCTGATCCGCTATCATGATGAAGTATGATGAAGCCCGCTATCACGTTCCGTATCATGCGATGTGTGTTTGAGTTTTGATTTTTCCTTCATGCGTAGTGTATCTACTTTCGTGAATATAATTTTCTAACCAAATCTGACGGAGGGATAGAGATTTTCCAGACAGCTTCCGTTCAATGCAAGCAAGCTGGTTGAAATATAATTTTTATTATAATTATACGTCCCAGCTCAATAACATTGTGAAACATAACAAGTTTCTTCCCTAAAATACAATGGAAATGATTGATCGAGTTCATGCAATACAATCTGGCCTGGATCCAAAGTAGAGTGCTTTCCAAAGTTTACAAATATCAGGTGCCTTTTCCATTATTGTATGACTTCCATATAACAAAACGCATGTGCTTTCACGGATGAGGCCATTTTCGAAGCACGTTTAAGGCAGGGGATGTGTCCAAACTAAAACAGCACAGTGCTAGAGGTTACCTTCTCACTTTAAACGACCTGTATTTCAGTCAGGTGAGATAAGGGCCAGAATCTTGATCCGTAGAGCAATTTTGGCCTCACCCAATATTAAAATCTTAGGTCAAGAACTGCACTGCGTGGGATGCACTTCGTGGGATGCACTAGGCGCTCTAGGTAGTACTAACAATAACAAAAACAGGCCTGAGTCACATTAAGCCCCACCTAGGCAGCCCGGCTTTGCACAGCCAGGGCCCAGCTGGCGCCCTTGTCGAGTCCATCATGTACCCGGGTACATACATGATGCACGATCCTGTGCGTGGACCGCCCCGTTCGGCCACCATCAGCCGCAGAGCTGTGAAATGGAGTAGCCATAAGGAAACTGTGTCTTAGGTTTTAGAGAGGTTTCATAAAGAGTGAGGTGCCAGGAAAAGTCACTCAACACGTGAGTTTCTACACTTTGTGCGATGTAAGTGTACCCCTGCTGTTTATGATCAGCTTGCAGCCAACGCGCAATTCGGCAAAAAAGGTTTTCGGCACGGTGTCGTTCCAATGTGAATATTTTACCATTTTAACCTGACACCTTTTGGTCTGTTTGTTTTGACTTGTATCTGTGTATGCTAAGTCCGCATCTGGCATGTGCCACGCAGCACTCGTAATACAAGACATTTACAATGCTTTTATTGCGTTTTGTTGTCCCCACTTTGTATCATCAACCTCTCCCCCCCTACGTAGCCAAGCTTGCTTGAGGTGCAGCTTCAAAGCAGCTTGCTTGGAAAAATTTGTTCCAAGCAACCTTAGCTGAAGAAAGTATCCCACCGTTTTGTACCTTTCACTTATTATGATTACATGATTACGAGACGATTTGATCAGTAGCATCCAGCTTTCTCGAGATCGTTCTGAAAAACTCAGAATTTTTATTTGAAGTAGCCGACCCTGCAGGATAAATCTCATTTGACCCCCTGCTCACCACCGCAAAGATAATGCATGTCATTTGCTTTTATTTCTTTCCACGTGCGGGCTGTTTTTGCAACACTTTGTGTCAAAACGTTTGTGTAATAAATGCTACGATACCTTGAAACTCCGTTCGAAAGGTAAAATATGCGAACATGAGGTTTTTATCCCGCGAATTCAACGAAACGTATATTATGGCTTTGATTTCCCATTTATGGCGTTTATCAGTGGCTCTTTTCGACGCGCATTTTGGCCCTAGAAATAGGAATGTCACATGATCCGTGCGAGGCACCGGTTCAAACCTCAACCAGCCAACTTTTCGGTAGAAGACCCTTGCCCACTGGGCCAATCACAACCGTTCTTTTATTCGCACATGCGGAGGTGAGCACGGTACGGTCATGACGACGGCGGCCGCAGCCGCAGGGAAGAAACATGGTGCCATTACAAATTGTTGACAGTATAATTCGGACTCGAAAACGATCAGAACTCATATATTAACAATATCTCAACGGCGCTGCAATGGCACCGCCCAGTGCTATTATTAAACGTGACTAGCCCTGAGTTTTCACTAGACTATGTTCTTTTAAAAAATGCCCCGCAGGTGTGGCACTTATCTTTCCATCAGGAAATACCATTGCTCCAGTCGGGAGAAAAAATGGACCGTGTTAACGCAGTGCCGTAATTTTAGTTCACTGGAGCCCACCCCCCCCCCCCCCGAATTTCGGTGTCTATGGGCCTGACGTGAAGTCACCCACATTTTCCTCATCTGACGGCCGACCGATTTGATGCACTGTAGGAAAACATCTCGACGGTTGGTCACGCCACCAGGTCAAGCGGTCATCCGCATACACACCGTGAAAAATAACAAGGTACTTTTTCACCACCAGGACAGACCCGTTGCGTTTTGGGTCACTTTGGGCTCCTTGACTCACCGGTTTGACTTCACGTCGACGTTGGTCGCGTCATGCGGTCATCGGTAACTAGAAACTCGGTGTTTTTTCCTTAGTGAAACTGACCACCGCAACGATGATGGTTTTATCTGTTTTCGATCAATTACGTGCTGAGATACCATCAAGGTGAGGGGCTTAACTTTCACCCCTGCCTCCGCGACCTAGGAGAGCAAAACACCTAAGAGTTGTCTGCAAGACCGCAAAACCAACGTTGGCAGGTACGGCGGCACACGTCCGAAACAGTACTTCAGCGACTACGACATCGAGCATCAAGCGCCGTGATGGAACGCAAAAACCATCGTTTTATTCCCGTTGTACTTGCGTCAAGCGTGCATCAACGTTTCCATCTGAAGCCGATCCGATTTTATTGAGTACAACAATATTAAAAGCACCAACGATCATGGCTTCCGTAAAGCTGGAGCGTGCGTGAAGAGTTCTGCGGATGTCATCCATATGAAGGGCAAGACATAATTGACAGAGGCTTGATTACATACAAGACACGAAACGGATTACACTTACCGATTGGATTATATTAAATCACAGGTGAAGCACGCACGGCAGAGTGAAAAACAGCAGAGCGCAAACGGGCCTGCGCGTGAACTTACATGCAGACAATGCACTGCGGTAGCACCAATGACGTCACACCTGGCATGGCAAGTGCGCGCAGCTGAACTGCTTACCGCTACCGACCCGGTGACGGCGCACCGGCCCGCCGGTCAGCGAGGCGCGGCCGCACGGCCAGCCGGCGTTCCGTCCACTTCTCGGCTGGACAACGCACAATACACACACGCGACAAGGCGCGCTGGAGGTGTAAAGCTGGCTGCACAACGCCCTCACCTAAGCAGCACCACACACATCTCATGTGGAGATGGCGAAGAAGGCACGCGCTGACCTCACAAGCGCAACGCCGCTCGGACAACAAGCATATTTGTCTCGGCCATTGCGCCGAATTGTTGCGAAGCAGACACAAACGACAGGAGCGCACGTGCACGGCGTTGGGGCGATGGGTTAGTTCCCGATGCTACACAGCACCGGACACTGTCGGGGACCAGGGCTGGATGCTACACAGCGCCGGCCACTGCCAGGGATCGGGACTGGATGCTACACAGCGCCGGGCACTGTCAGGGATCAGGACTGGGTGCTACACAGCACCGGACACTGTCGGGGATCACGACTGGGTGCTACACAGCACCGGACACTGTCGGGGATCACGACTGGGTGCTACACAGCACCGGACACTGTCGGGGATCACGACTGGGTGCTACACAGCACCGGACACCGTCGGGGATCAGCGCTAGATGCTACACAGCACTGCACACTGTCCCAGCAGCGGCCGACGGTCGGACAGCACCAGACATCCGCGGACGAAGGCACAGCGCGTCTGGGGGGGGGGGGGGGGGGGCAGGAAGGCACAGTACGGCCGCCAGCAGGGCGGAGCTGGTTGGGCCGGGCCGGGCGCGCGGCGCAGCAAAGGAAAACGAGCGAGGCTCTGGGGAGGAGCACGGGGGGCAGCACCGATCAGACTCCACAGCATCCAGACACAGCGCAACGGGTATTCTCTGGCACATCATAGCGGAGAGGAGATCGGCGCAAACATAACTGTGGCGAGGTATCAGCAGTTGCTTGGCAGTCGTGTAGTACTGGCACATTGATTTCGAGTGTCTTTTTCGCCTTGCGTTTTGTTTTTGGACCTTCACCTTTTGCATGTTGATCACTGACCTTGATAATGTACAACTGTTATTGCATGTGTTCAGTGGTCCTGCATGTTGGGGTCGCCGCCCGGAACAAGCCAGTTTCAATGCTGATGACACTACAGCAGTGCTAGAATGCTCATCACGGAGTAGTCCCACGACGGTCAGTTGTCACCGGCCACAGCACTATAATGCGTTGCAAAACTATCAAGGCCACCAAGACAGTGGTCCAACACCAGCCCTGAGAAGTGCACCACAGATGCTGCAACGTGGTCAGCTGCACGGCGCCAGTGTGATCAGCTTCTCACTACGACCATTTCCATCCAGCGTAGCCAAATCATGCTCAGTATCGAGGACAATAAATGAGTTGTAATCAAGCTGAGACAAAACGCTATGTTCATCAGATGTTGAGAGTGATTGGCGAAAGCCTTACACTTGCAACTATTTACATCCGACGCGCCATGCTGACATGGCCAGTAATCACAGACGGATTGCGGCGTTAATATCAAGCACGCGATCAGCAAAGTTTGACTAGCAGATATATAATCATTTAGCCAAACTTAAGACACGGGACGCACGGATTATACGCTGTCTAGCCAGTCTCACACACATACTCACACTCTAAACCCCACACGACTCCCGGCGTCCGGCGCGCCACGCAGCGGTGCCGAAAGCAGGTGCTAGTTCCCCGTGTCGCCGCTAGACGGCGTCACCAGCGGCCCGGCGCCGCTGTTCCCAGGCGTGCTGCATGGCCCAGATGCTGAGCGGGCGCATGTACCCGACGGCGCGGTAGTGCTTCTCCGGGTAGAGTGCCTCGGGCGTCTCGAAGCCCTGGCCGATCCGCTCATACACGGTGCGGTAGATGCCTTCGGCCGTGCGGAACCCCTCCTCGACCATGCCCTGCGGCGGAGACACGGGCGGTGTCGGCGGCGACCAGGCGGCCGGATGGAGACGACATCGGTGAAGGGTGGTGATGGCAGCTCCCCTCCCCCCCCCCCCCCCCCGGCGGCGGAGGAGATGGCGTCGCACTGGGGCCTCTGTGGCCTGGCGTCATATAGAGATAGTCATAGGAAGACGCGTCAAAATGGGAGAAAACGGAGCAGCGATGCACGCCACCTTTCTCCATTAACGACGAAAGCGAAACACCCACCGCGAAAGGTTCGCAGCCTATGACTGCTTCTGTGACACAGCGCGGTCCATAGATGTCTCCACATCCACGCTCAGCTTGTCACTTACAGGACATCACATTGTATAGTGCTCGGATGAAAGCACGGCGCAGTTCTGGGAGTTTCCAACATTTACACATTGAGGAAACCCACTGCAAGGCTGCACCACAGCACAAGCCGCTCAGTTCAGAGTTCGTCGCCGGGCGTATCCTGACACCGGGGTACAGGTCGTCCAGTCCATGTTTTACGCCGTTCCACCCACTCCGCATGCGACAAGTAGCGCTTCAGCAAAGTCGGATATTCAACCTTTGCTTGGCAGTTAACCATCAGCCAACGAACACACTAACGCACCCCCCCCCCCCCCCCCCCCCAGCCGGACCGACCCCACCCGAGGCGTACCTCGTGCAGCATGGCGGCGGCCAGGGCGTACGTGACGCCGGTCCACGTCTCCTCGCTCTGCATGGTGTGCTCGTTGACCTGGCCGTCGGGCATCATGCCATTGACGGCGCCTTGGCGGCCATCGCGGAACAGCAGCACGTTGTGTTCGTACACCGTGCGCAGCGCCGTCTCCACGTGGCTGAACACCTGAGCCGGTGGGGTCATGGTCAGGTCAGGTCAGGTCAGGTCAGGTCAGGTCAGGTCAGGCCATGTCAGGTCAGGTCAGGTCAGGGTCGGTGAGGGGGAGGGGGTTGTCACTGGCATTGCCGGAGGCGTGACGGTCGACCGGCGACAGCAAGCCGCTAATAAACATGTGAGACATGAACACCTAACGCCAGTGCGTTGATTCACACATAGCACTGATAACTGAATGGTTGCTAGTCAAGCAAGACGTGGCGATTTCAAACCAGGAAGTATATCTGCTGGCAACAAGTTACACAAGTGCGGAAATCTACCCCGAAAAACGCCAATGCGCGAGTTGCTCCCCGACATTAGGCCCACTTTCTGCCCTAATTTGTGGGAGGGAGGTTGGAGACTCCACCCAAAAAAGAACAGGGAAATTCAGCCCGGGACCCCACTGACCGGCTCCGTGACGTCCGAGGACCCCACTAACCGGGTCTGTGACGTCCGAGGCAAACACTGACCAGGTCTGTGACATCCGAGGCAAACACTGACAGGCTCTGTGACGTCAGAGGACCCCACTGACCGGCTCTGTGACGTCAGAGGACCCCACTGACCGGCTCTGTGACGTCCGAGGACCCCACTGACCGGCTCTGTGACGTCCGGGCCCCCAATGACCGGCTCTGCGACGTCCGAGGACCCCACTGACCGGGTCTGTGACGTCCGAGGCCCCACTGACCGGGTCTGTGACGTCCGAGGACCCCACTGACCGGGTCTGTGACGTCCGAGGACCCCACTGACCGGCTCTGTGACGTCCGAGGACCCCACTGGCCGGCTCTGTGACGTCCGAGGACCCCACTGACCGGGTCTGTGACGTCCGAGGACCCCACTGACCGGATCAGTGACGTCCGAGGCAAACACTGACAGGCTCTGTGACGTCCGAGGCACACTGACAGGCTCTGTGACGTCCGAGGCAAACACTGACAGGTCTGTGACGTCCGAGGCAAACACTGACAGGCTCTGTGACCTCAGAGGACCCCACTGACCGGGTCTGTGACGTCCGAGGACCCCACTGACCGGCTCTGTGACGCCGAGGACCCCACTGACCGACTCTGTGACGTCCGAGGACCCCACTGACCGGCTCTGTGACGTCCGAGGCCCCCACTGACCGGGTCAGTGACGTCCGAGGCAAACACTGACAGGCTCTGTGACGTCCGAGGACCCCACTGACCGGGTCAGTGACGTCCGAGGCAAACTGACAGGCTCTGTGACGTCCGAGGACCCCACTGACCGGGTCAGTGACGTCCGAGGCAAACACTGACAGGCTCTGTGACGTCTGAGGCCCCCACTGACCGGGTCAGTGACGTCCGAGGCAAACACTGACAGGCTCTGTGACGTCCGAGGCAAACACTGACAGGCTCTGTGACGTCTGAGGCCCCCACTGACCGGCTCTGTGACGTCAGAGGACCCCAATGACCGGGTCTGTCTCGCCCGAGGACCCTACTGACCGGGTCTGTGACGTCCGAGGCCCCCACTGACCGGCTCTGTGACGTCAGAGGACCTCAGGTACCAGTGGCCGCACAGCTGGTCTGCCATGATGCACTGGGCGTGTCCGCTGGCCGACGAGTCGAACCGGTAGTACGAGCCTGCCGACACCGGGCGCACGGCCACAGCTCAGTACCGGCGCAGGCGGCGGCGACACCGGCACATCATGGCGACGTCGGACCAGCAGGACGACGCCGGGCTCGCCTCTGGCCCGAGACGCGACAGTTACGAGGCATTTACACCAACACTGCTATTATGGCGAGGAATGGCGCGACACGCAACGGAAATGCATCCAGCGGTGGTGCCTCATCCTGCAGTATCGAACACTTGCTTACAAAGAGTTTGAGAGTAACAGCAACCAACACCAGACAAGAGCCCAAAATTATCGGACGAAATTATTCATTATCAGGCGAAAGCCAACAACACCACTACCTCAGCGGACGTCATACTGATGACGTGTCGACTGTCGTTAAAACTTTAGGGAGCATACACACTGCTGGGTACTTCTAGCGTCTATGACGAGGCAGAACACGCAGGGTGTCTAAATTGCCCACAGCCTTACGCCCATAATACAGACGAACAGCCAGTGCTCCGTTTCATGCAAAAAGCAGTCATCCCAAACGTCATGCCACGTTCGTCAGGAAGCCCCACATCCGTCACGAGACGCACGCGCCGGCGAGGTTCGCTTGCGGGCCGCACAGCCACTACCGGCGCCTGGCCGGGCACTGACCGGTCCAGAGCTTATCGATGTACACCTTCTGCGCCTTGGTGAGCATGGCGTCGTACAGGTCGACCTGCTCGGCTAGCGCCTGCTCGCGCGCCATCTCCCTCATGGTGTAGAGGGCGGCGATCCAGAGACCGCCACAGTAGGCGCTGCAGCAGCCGACACAGTCAGCCGCCACCGTCGGCACACCCAGCTGTGGTATGATCACTTATCTAAACAATCACTACAACATGATGCTCAGAGAACTGGAATTCTGCTAGCTGAAAACTCTGTGGTTCTGCAATCAGTAACCACTTGGATAGAATCCTTCTGAAGAGGCCGGCCGTCAAAGCGTACCTCTCGAGTTAACTTTTTTCCACATTTCATACGTCTGTTCTGAGCTACGTTTCGCATATTTGATGGACCACGTGTCACGTGCCTGTGCTCACCTGACACCCTCCATGACCCACGTGTCGTACGTCTGGTCGGGCATTCCCGAGTTCTCGATCATGCCGTCGCCGTCCGTGTCCCAGGCCCGCGCCACGTTCATGACGGCGCAGCAGGTGGGCCACATGTGCCGCAGGTAGCGTCGGTCGCCCGTCACCCGCAGATCGCGGTACACCTGGGCGCACACCAGCCGGTCCGGTACGGCTCAGCCAGCCCCGCCGCTGGCCGGGCTCCGCTGGCTGGGCTCCGCTCCGGCTTCGGGCCGTCGCCGCCTCCCCCCCCCCCCCCCCCCCCACGCCCAGCTGCACCAGTGATTCGAGCACACACGAAGCGCGGCGCCCGCTGCAGAGTGCCGAAGCACGACCGTTCAGTCCCTTCAGCGTGCCAGCGGTCGGTCTCTTCAGCGTGTACGAGCGCCACATTCAGCTAGCGACGTGAGCGACGAGCTGGATGAGTACTTAGTCTTCCGACAGTTTAACCACGGCCCTGGGTCATGAGAAGCAGTTGCCATGGAGACGCATCGAACTGAATCAGTAGGGTTCACATCACGCATAACAAAATGAGCTGTAACGCCACTCTCATAACAATTGACGCGAAATGATATTGGCAGCCGGTGCGCCCCAACACACTAGCACTTAATTGACATTTAAATCATACTTGCTGACCTGCAGGACAAACTTGAGGTTCAGGTCCTTCCACGCCGACACGTCATGAATCTGGTAGCTGTTGATATTGCAGAACGGCATCTCACCTGCATCGCACATGAGGCTTAAGCTCGAGGTAGATCACCAGGCATGCAAACGATAACGAGCGAATGAAAACGATTTCCATGTTCCCACATCCCGAAGAGATACACACAGAAAACATAAGCCAATTCTACGTTGTTGGTACAGAAGCGACCTCCACGGAGGATACTGTGGCCCAGCGGTGGCCCATATCGCTGTCAGGGATGACCGCTCCCACCGCGGACCGGCCCTGTGCCTCGCCACACAGCGCCGCAGCACCAGCGCCAGCTCCAGCACCCGACGGCGCTCGTCGGCCGACAGGGCGTACCCGGCATGCCCGGGTTGCCGACGTCGTGCGGCACTGTGTTGGCCCTCTTCCGGGGCGCCGTCTGGCCGCTGTAGAGCATGGTGCGGGTCTCCGGGTCCTCCTGGGAGGGGAGAGCGGCCGGTGGCCGGCGTCAGGTACCCCGCCGCCCGCGCACAGCACGCTTCACAGCCGGATGACAAGGTTGGCTGAAGGCGGTGATGGTCGCCAGGCGAAGACTATGGCCGCCGTCAATGTCACGTCACTAGGTATCTTTCGAGATACCAACTCGAGCATTTCCCGTGACTGGCAAGAAAACCCTCCAGCATTCTTCTGCCCAAAAAGAGAGCATTGGCCTAGTATCTTATCAGCTGGTGAAGTGTCACAGTACTGTCGAAGATCACACATATATTTCCATCAGTTCCAAGCATTAACGAATACAGGGCAAAGAGTAACGCTCTCAGTCATGGCCATTGAACACCAGCAGCAACAGCGAACTCGTCTATCGTCACATTCCACAGGCCAGACTCCGGCCGGCCGGCGCCGAGGTGCAGCGTTCGTCTCACCTGCGCCACAAACTCGGCCATGTCGTACTGCAGGGAGAGTTGCAGCTGCGGCCAGAGCTGGACCAGCGCCGCCGACGAGTAGAAATGCACGTCGTACGTGTTGTACATGATGTACTCGTGCGACTCGAGGTACCCGAACCGGCCGTACTCCCGCCTGCGACCGCGCCCGTGGCGCGCACAGCCGTTACGTGGAAACATGGGAGAAACGCGATTGCACAGGCTCTATCCGACGACCCACTAGTACAGATATCATGTCATTCAGCTGCATCTGTCACGCACTCAGCCGTCGCAACAGACGACGAGTTAGCTCAACTCCGCCAGGCGTCCTACTCAGGTACGGAGCGCACTGTCTGGTCAAACGGGGTCCGTCTCGGTCCACTGGTCACCTGACAACGCCGCTGCGGCCCAGGTAACCAGACAACGCTACCGCCCACGCTGTCCGGCTACCCAGGATCCGTCTCAGGCAGCTGATCCTACCCGGGCGCTGTCTGGTTACCTGGGTCCCTTCTCAGGCAGCCGATCCTCCCCAGGCACTGTCTGGTTACCCAGGATCCGTCTCAGGCAGCTGATCCTACCCGGGCGCTGTCTGGTTGCCTGGGTCCCTTCTCAGGCAGCCGATCCTCCCCAGGCACTGTCTGGTTACCTGGGGTCCGTCCCAGGCAGCTGACCCTCCACAGACACTGTCTGGTTACCTGGGGTCCGTCTCAGGCAGCTGATCCTCCCCAGGCACTGTCTGGTTACCTGGGGTCCGTCTCAGGCAGCCGATCCTCCCCGGGCACTGTCTGGTTACCTGGGGTCCGTCTCAGGCAGCTGATCCTCCCCAGGCACTGTCTGGTTACCTGGGGTCCGTCCCAGGCAGCCGATCCCCCCCGAGCACTGTCTGGTTACCTGGGGTCCGTCTCAGGCAGCTGATCCTCCCCGGGCATCCGGATCCACAGACTGCCGCCGTCTGATATGTAGTACAGCTCGTTGAAGATGGCCGACTTGTACCAGTCGGGCAGATCTCTGCGAACACGCGTTGGGCTGACGCACGTTCTTATGACCCATAATGCATGAGTGCGCTGAAAGAGGTCCGAACCCGTTGGCGGTCGACTCGTCTGAGGCTTCTCCCTTCATCACGGCCGCAGAGCGAAACGCCAACAATCTGATTGACCAATCAGCTCGACTGACCATTTGGCGATGTGTTTCCTCCCCCTCCTCCCCCCCCCCCCCCCCCCCCACCGACTACCGCATGTCAGGACAGCACACCCCACCCGTGCACCTCCCCCTAGCGCAGAGAATGCGGCGGCGGAGCGCGGACTCACGGGTCGGTCAACACGGGCCGCTGCCAGGCCTCGATGTCGCTCTCCCAGCTCGAGAAGCAGTCCAACGCGTACCGGCTGAGCTGGTCGGCGCCCTGCCGGCCCGTCTCGAACCACTTGGTGTAGTACCTGGCGGCCGGGGGCGCGTCACTCGCGGCGCCCCGGCCGGCCCCACAGCAGCAGCTCGAACACGACCTGAGCGGAATGGTACGGGCGCGAGGACATCCACATGTGGGGACTATCACACGCTTCGATAGTGAAACGTTCCGCCATTGTCGAGGGACTTAGAGCGTCGGCGTCCAGTGAAATTGTACCTGAATGCAACATAAACTGGGCTTCGGGACTCAATCGCCATACACTGAAGTACTATCCAAAAGTATCCGACTAAATGTCTGGCTGCAGTGATCCTATTTCAGGTTTTCGTACACAGCGATTTGAGTCCGGCCCCGTCAGCTGAACAAACAACGTTCGTCGCTTTACACTCGCCCAGTCTACGGGCTCCTCGGAACCAGCCAAAGCGCACACGACTTTGCCAGCCTCGCGAGGCAGTACCGGCGCCACATTTCACACCGCACGAAAACGCATATGCACCAAACACAACCAGTAAGACTATCGGGTAACTCAGCAGAGGACGGCGCTGGGCGCGGATGTGGCGTACCTGCTGACGCGGCGTTCCCCTCCCAGGAAGTGGACCTCGGGCATGTGCCACACTAGACTCATCTCCAGAGAGCGGCGTTCGCCGGCCGGCACCGTTACTCGAGCGCTCACCGCCACGCCCACATCTGCGCACGCGCAGCACCGGCCCGCCGGCCGCCCACAGTCAGTACACCGCCGCCGTCCGAGAACAGATTTCGGCGAGCTTTCACGACAGGTTGGTCGTATATCGGGTTTATATCTCACAAGTCGATGCCCACCAGGTCAGGTCACCCCCCATAAACAAGCTCCCATGAACAGGATGGAGAGGCAAAGTCGACAAAATATGAAAAGGATTGACTGAAAAGCAAGCTCGCAGTCGTTTGGTCCACAAATGAGTTCGACCAATGCGCTGGGAAGCCAAACGACGATCAAAGTGTGTCCAGGTTTTAAGTGACCGCTAAATCAGCAAACCAGCTTTTCAAATATTTGATAACACTTTGCTTAACATACCAATGACCCGCGCTCTCGACGTCGGTTAAACGTTTTGTACGAGCGTCGATCCTCGCACCCATTTTTTCTACAGCTGCCACCGTTCATCTTCCGCTTTAGGCCTGACATTCGTCGGCTGACTGGACGTGCATGTAACGCACATGTGCACGAAAAATGACAACCTGAATCGGACACATCAAATCACCACTGGCTTTCGTTTGACTTCACCAGTCTTGCCCTCTCCAAAGAATCTGCCCATACCTGGCCCGTGCGCTTTGTCCGTCTGTAAGGTCAGACTCCCGGTCTGAGCCAGCTCATTCCAAAGGTCAAGCCCATTTCCCGTCGGGTCAAACGACCCTCTGCTGACGGCCACGTCATCCTGAAAGACGTCACAACCAGATGCAGGTTGAACGTGGACACCGTGGGGGGCAGCAAACGGCGCAACTGCCCATGCCGCATCGCGCTCAGCACAAGCGTCACACACAAACACACTGCACACATCCCGAAATGAAACACGGAGAGCGCCAAGCTCCAGCATCAAAGGGCGAGATCCTCAACACACTGGCTGTGCGTGGGTCGTCGTCGCCCACCCGCCCGCCCGCGCCAGCCGGCTGCCGCGCGGTGCGCGTGCGGCAGCGCCGTTCGGTTACCTTGAGCCGGGCGGCCAGCGCGTACCGACACGGGACGCCGGCGATCTCCTGGTCGATGGCCATGCCGCAGACGCCGCCGGCCGAGTGCTGCTCCGAACCGAACGGCGCGACGCTGCACTCCGCACCTGCAGTCGACGCCCGGCGTCACGACAACGCACGGACAGGTGACGCGCTTTTTAGTCGAAGTTGTCAGTCTCGTCGAATATAAAAATGTATCTTAAGATATGTATATGATAAGGCGTTGGCACCAACAGTCAGCCCATGAAAACACCACTGTTCGCGCTTATCAAGGACATTTCGCCTAACTTGAGCTCTCTTTCTAAGTCGGACTCCCCGCAGCATCGTCGCATCAGCGCATCCACAACACAAACTTGGTATCTGTGAAGCAGACTGGTAAATTTACCCTAACCCTTCATATAGCAAACATCAGCTTCACCAACACGACCGACCGCAAACGGACCAGCTGGAGCGTTTCCGTTCCCCTATCCCTGTAGCTTGCAGACGTACTGGAGTTCTTGCACCCTGTCCCGTTCTCGAACGTGAAGGTGACGCTGACGTCCTTCTGTTCGTCGCCTGTATTCTCGATGTCCCAGACGAACACACTACACGGTAGAGACGTGTCCTGCAACGGCGCTGCTCGTGACGACTGACACAGGGCCAGGGCATGGCCGGGCCAGCGATGCCACCACTGGCTGACCAGCCCCGGCAGAAGTGGTGCACTATGGCTCCGGCGGGCGGTTCGCCATGGATGTAAGGAACAATGCCATGAGCGCGCGTTCCACGTAGGCAGTTTTCAAAAGCAGCGCGTAGACCAAACAGTTGTTGCATGCTACATATAGAATCATCAGAGGGGAACCGATGGCATAATACATGTCCGCAATCATGGGGGATTAAGTTGTTAATTGGGACAAAGCTAAATCCACCCCACATCTCAGAAAGCCAATATTCCGTCCAAAGCGTAGCGTGAAAAACAAGGACGCAAAACATTAACACTCCCCCAACCCACATATTTGTGACAAAGCTTGCAGCGCGCCCATACGTTGTGGTCGTGCGGCACGCCTTACGGTGCCTGGCAATGCCACAGCATGTCTGTGCCCTGCACCTTCGGCAGCGTTGCATTGCGCCGGGCACCGCCGCCTCTGCGGTGGCGCAGGCCGTCACCTATCACCTTGTAGTTGTGCGGTATGACGGGCGAGACTTGCCGCACCGTCAGCTGCAGGTCCTCGCCGGGCAGCGTGAAGACGGTCCAGGAGCGCGGATACAGGCCGCGGTACGAGGCCAGGTCTCCGGGGAACGCCCAGCGCCAGGCCGACAGCCGGTCGGCCGGCGCGTCGCACGCGCTCAGCACCTGCTGGTAGCGCGCGCGGCCGCCGGCCCGGCCAGCCACGCTGACGATGAACTGGTCGGCGTCGGCCGTGCCGTAGTCGTACAGGCCCGGCCGCATCTGGAACCGGGTGAACTCGCCGCGGAAACCGCGGCCCATCGTGCCCGAGCCGATCCCGCCCAGGGGTACGCCTGAGGGCATAGACAGAGTAGCTGAGCTCTAGATCCTGCACAGGGCCATGTCTGGAGGCACACACAGAGTGGCTGAACTCTGGATCCTGCACTGGGGCATGCCTGAAAGCATAGATGGAGCAGTTGAGCTCTAGAGGAGGTGGGGACAGTGGAACATGGGACCCAGGCCAACACATCTATTCACAAACCCTTATGTTTATAAGTGAGCCTTCTTTACAACCATAGCAACCCTCAGCAGATGTTTGACAGTCCAGATGTTTGGTGAGAGGATTGGCAGGATAGAGTGCATGCAAGACATGCCTTCTCAATCCCGGGTCATAGTCTTTTCAAAGGTGGGATGTAACAGTAAGCAATGCATAAGCAACATCCTGTTTATGGCACTTTGGACATACAGCCAAATAAAGTTTACCTGATAAGCATATAATATACTTCTTTCACATACCATATATCTGTTTTCCAGTGACAGGATGAAGTTGGTCTATAAAGGGCTTCTTTCCATGGAACCACATTCCAACATACCACACCAGGTATCTGTGGATAAAAGTGATAATCTGATTACAGAGAACACATCTAAGAATGTCTGCCAAACCATTACACTACACATGCAAGTGCAACTTATTTGAAAGCATTGTATGACAGCAAGCTTGAGTTACTTGCAGGAATTATGGTAAATTCTGCATGGAACTTTGCAGAAATTTGCAGAATGACCTGAAAGTTGCATTCAAAGCACCTTATTTTAAAGAACTGAGTTGTACTAACATGAATTCACTGAATACACACACACAACAATCATTATGATCAACAGCAAGAGAACAGGCCCCTCATATCAAACAGCTTTCCTGTAAGGGGAAAATTTAGTTTTGCAGTGCTAGATGTGGTACATAATGGATATGCGAGTCACATTACCAAAGTTTCTTTCTCATTGATACACTTTATCTCCCACACAATTACACAAATTACAATAACAAACATGAAGATCGACATTGGTAAGGTTAAAGACCATTTCATTGTACACAACTTCAGCTTCTTGATTCTATGTTTGTTCTTGTCAAGATTGGGCCTACAGAAACATATAAAACAAACCCCAATATGAAAGTACTTCACAGGGGCTGCAGCTGAGACAATGCCATCAGCTGTCATGAAGCAACAGCTTTGGTACCAAGGATCCAGGCATTTCCGTGACTGTTAGCTTCTACCACCCATCTGGTTACTTACGGCAGTCTGTCCATCTACTTGCATTATCCAGCTTGTTGCATGCTGTAGGTAAAAGTGCATAAAATTTGCGCTACATGTATCATTAAACGAACCAAGACTGTCTTACCTGAGACCAAGAACCAGAAAACCCCATACTTGATGCAATCGGGGGCGAATGTTGGCATCCCAGCTTTCCGGAAATTTATGGTTTAATTTGACCTGAAAGCCATATTCGACCATAGCTTTGCCTTGAGGACTCACTTGCCGTGCTATTGGAATGTTTACGATACCCCTTCGCACGTGCCGCAAAACAAACCGCCCCGACCAAGGCTGACCCTATCAAGGCCCTGGTTCAACAAATCCCATGAGCTTGCCACCCAGATGACGTGTGGAACGAAGTTCAGTACAAGCAAGTGCGGTATAGAAACATCCTAGATTGCATATATTCCTGTAAATAGTAAAACGCCAGTCGTAGAGAATTTGCTGCACAGCTACCAAATAAGAGGGTTGTCTTGCTGCGCTGGTGAAGTCCGCGAAATGCGAAATTAACAATATGCGCCGCGGCGCGTGCGCGACGGGGTAGCAGCGTAGTCGAAGGTTTCACTGTCTGAAAGCGGTGGGGGAGGGGGGCTTAGCTGAAAAGGTCAACCGCACCCTAAAACCTGATTTTTCCCTGGATTTCGGTCACTTGAATTTGTTTGCCCGCTATCAAAATCAAGGCTTTTCATTTTTCGTATTTTCAAAATTATTGTTCTCGGAAGAATTGATTCCCATTTCAAGTTAATGAGAGCTGCCTTTTTTAACTAAAACTTTGAATGCTTTGCAATTTACGGGAAAGCATTTAAGTACATCTTATATTAAGGGATCATTAATAGCTACCGCTATTGCTGATCGTGTTGTATAATCCCATCCATGATTATGCTGCAAAGATACTTGCCACTGTTGGGCGAAAACATGAGTTAGCTTTTATTAGGACAGCCCTGTACTATTAGAGCTGCCACACATGGCAGTTAGTTGTTCTTCATCCCGCTCCAGGCACTATTGAAAAAACTGTAAAACATTTGCAGACTGGCTTAACATATGAAGGAGCTAGCATGACAGCACTCGGTAACTACAGGATACCAGTTGGTACAAAATATACATGATGCCAAAAGTGATGCATTTGGGTACCTTCTACCAGCATACTAAACGTTAACATAATTGCTCTGTATTTATTTTGCCCAGTATTTCCTCTTTGCTCATATGCATTGAGGGGCTCAGAAGAGCATTAGGGGACTTAAGTCAGCGTTGGGGGGGGGGGGCTCAGGACCCCCTCCGAAAGTGTATAGAGTGACGCCCCTGGGGGTAGTCGTAAGAGCTCTTGAGATGAGCTGGAAGAGCAGAGGGTAACGATGCGGGGGGTACAAGTGCGGTGCAGGGGTGGCAAAAAATAATTTTTATCCCCGTCCGGATTTGTGTTAGCAGCGTTGCACGATGGTATATGACAGAAAATGGCAATAAAGTCCACACCCAGCAGCGCCATCAGGAACCGGCGCATCACCGAAACCCTCTTTCATCAGCGTAGCTTTCAATATCATGCACGCAACCGAAACGATCATTGCTACAACGTCATTCAACTAATGTCAGGATTGGGTCTGCTGGCAGGAATGCGGGCACAACGCCCCGAGACTATGGGATAGTCCAATCCCAAATGCATCTCCTCCATCCTTTACACATACCGGGGCCTGGTGCTTAAGCTCGATCCGCGGCTGGATTTGCTTTCCTCGACTGTGAAAAACGGCAAAGGACCTCGAGAACCAGGGCAGCTGAAAACATGACAGAGGTCGAACCGGAGGTACGCAGCACTGGAGGGTGATGTCCATCATGCGGGCCTTCTCGATATTATGTTCCCTCATGAAAACCACGCGTGCGCTTCGAGCTCCAGACCAAACATCATCATACTCTCCGCTATATCTTAGGCATGCTCCAAGCCTGGTCCGACATGTGTCGCCTGTTGGGCGTCATCCGCTGCACCCCAGCAGTATGCATATGCAAATTTAAACTGGTTTTCCATGTGGCCTGAAAGGAAAGAGGCAATATATTGGGTACCGGGTTAGGTTTAGAATGATGTGAAGGCGACTGCGCAAACGCTGGGCGATAGGTGATGGGGGCATATTGGAATGAGGATGCATCGGAGTCGCGGAGAGTTGGGGATCACAGGACTGTTTGGAGAAAAAACGCTATATCAATATCAAAGGAGGCTATATCAAGGCCACCGAGGCATCCATGACGCCATAATAAAGGTACTCAAATCCTACCATTCCATTAGGTACGCGACGTTCAAGGCTAATAGAAATATTATTGTCGAGTCATCCATATCTGGCGATCATGAGGACAATTTCCAGATAAAACGGTCGTCATTTGGCTCTCAATGAATGTTGTGCAACGCACGATGACCTTATCAAACCAAAGATATATTGATGGACATATTTACTTGACAAAGACATTGCATTGTCTAGAGCAGTTTTTTCCAGTAAGTGAGCTTATTACATCACGTCTGATGCTCACTCCGGCATATTGAAATGTGGAACATTCCCTTTACAGGAAGTATTCAATCTTTTTGTTCTTTTTCCATATTTGTTACATTCGACGTGCATTTGACCAATAAAAGGTTTTCTGGAAATCCTTTCAAATAGCTCAGAATTTCTATTTGAAGAAGCCGACCCTACGGGAGAAATCTCATTTGATTTCCTGCTCACCAATATGGAAGTAATACATGCCTTTTCGCTACTTTTCCGACGTGTTCCGCTACTTTTCCAAAATTCATAACTTTTCTCTGAGGAATAAGGTTATTAACACTGTCTTTCCTGTGTGAACAGTGTCCTTCGTAAATTGGCATACTGAAGGCCGTTAACTCCTCATTAGAAATGTGAACTCATAATGTCAATTAGCGTTATGTATTTTACGGCTCCCTGACTTGCTCCGGTCCTGTTTCGTTTTGACGACATGTAGGCAAGACAACGCGTGACGTCACAGATTTTGAGTTGGAGGGCAAGATTTTACAGGACCTCCTAAACAAAATGGGCTCTTCTCACGGGAGACCTTCTATACTGTGTCACATTGAAGGGACAGGGGCACTTAGGGCATGCGCCTCCTAATCTTACTATTAAATGCACCACGTCTAAGGAACTGAATGTTGGCGGTTAACAAAAAAAAACGGGATGAATGAACTCCAAATTATTCAGCAAAGGGTCTAACTGACCTGGAACAGGGTCTCCTATTGCAGAAAGGGTCTCCCCATCCAAAACGTGATGTGAACGACTTCCAAAGGGCCCTCCAAATCTAGGCAAGGGGCCTTGTTATCGAAAACAGGGCATTCTGCTCCGGAATAGCGGCCATATCATGCATGAAAGGGGCCTCCTCTTCCAGAAATGAAAGAAATCCTGAATATAAAGGGTGCCCCTAAACCAAAACGCGGACCTCATAGTGTGCAACGGAAGCCTCCCGAACCAGCAAAGGGACCACTTAAACGTAGCATTAAGCCCCTGATTTAGAGCACTGGCTACCTATAGCTTAACATGACCTCAGGACACAAAAGACGGACCTTTTGATGCAACAAAGAGTGTTCTGAGCCCGATTGATTACTCTTTAATTCAGTTATGGGGGAGGGGGAGCCTCCTGGATCTGAATATTGGTACTCTAGACGACTAGAATACCTTTAGTTGAGAAATATAGCCCTGTCAAAAAAGCAGGCAAAACATGCTCTTGCCCGCCTGCCTGCTGGTATGGGAGGCAACGGCCCACCCCCTAGCCTTTGCTGCGCCGCCCCTCGATAGCACCTACTTTTTCACGCATGCTACTTCTGTGTTCAAAATGTTTATATTGAACGCGCCGATTTCGTGTTTACGGCGGAGGTGCTGGTAGCAAAGTAAGAAAACTTCTCTGATGTAAAGCTTTGCGGCCCATTTTTGTCAGTAATGACATTTCTCTGTCTACAGGAATAAATGCGCCACCTTGCGGGATGTAGGTTAAATATCTAGTCTATACTAAACATTTGGTTGTCGGTAGCTGAGGGTGGTGTGGCGCAGGAACTAATATAGTAAATGTAATTGAAACATAAAAAATGGTATGCCCAGAAGTTTTGCAAAAAAAAAACTCTTAGGCAGTTGTAAACAGCATTACACTGACAGCACGTAATGGCTGATAGAAAACAATTCAGCATATCGCATATCGGGAACTGCAACCCGAGGCTGACTTACTTCTTGAACGGCGCCGAAATCGCGGTCAAGTCCGCCGAGGAGTACTTCGGGATCTTCGTGGATCATATGCTCAAGTCCCACGTGCAGACGACGGAGACAATCTCCAAGGCCAAATAGATGCTGGTGGTCGTGAAGCGATCTTTTGCTAACATTGGTGTTCGCACGCTGCCACTCCTCTTTAAGAGCTAAGTACGTCCGTACTTGGAGTATGACCACGTCATCTGGGGCCCGTTCGGCAAACTGGACCAGAAGCGGCTGGAGCGGGTTCAGCGACGAGCTACCCGTCTTGTCTATGAAATGAGGCACCAGTCATACCCTGAGAGGCTCAGACTCCTCCAGTTGCTCTCGCTGTACTATCGTCGTCGCAGGGGAGACATGATAACAGTGTACCAGCTGTTTCACGGAGGCATGTCACTGTCGGAAGAGAAGTTCCTGACAAGGCACAACTCCGAAGTGACAAGAAGACGCCAATGGAAGCTGAGAAAACCTCGACCTGGGACTCCCGTCCGTCGTAACTCGTTCAGCACGCGGGTCGTCAACGATTGGAACGCCCTTCCTCACCCGGTCGTGTCATCAACCTCAGTTGAACAGTTCAAGTCTAGGCTGGAGTTGCACTGGGCTGACATCATGTATGACATCCCACACTGAATCTACCCATAATTTGAGACTGCTTGGTTACCGGACTAGGAGCCTGACGAGCCCGGACCTACAGGCCTAGTGGCCTTTTATAATTCCCGATCACGACAAGGTAAGGTAAGGTAAGGAGCTGGTAAAAAAATTATAAAACGCCCAAGCCTCAAACATGCAGCCTTTCTGTTATAGATCTGACAAGCCACCGATTGAGATACTGAGGCCACTGCACATGTCTGAAAGTCAGAAAATTCACTGCGCATCGTGTATGACAACCTTTTGACCTTGCGCACGGAGAGTTTAGCTTTTCTAGAGAAAAAAGGTAAATAGATCGGCTCCAGACAATTGAACAATCCTTCGTTCGGTGCCAAGTTCATCGAAATTGGCCTGATCGAACTTGGTTTACAGCTTTGCCAAAAGCAGGCCTTTAACACGTGAAACGTATGGGATAGTAAGAAAAGTACGCT